CTTGGAAACCGTTTCCTTCATCCACCAGTGCAGAAGTTTTGGCGCGAGATATGTGAAGACTTATCGAAGTGTCTGAAATGTAACATTCCAACTTCCCCCTTAGTGTGTTTGTTGGGTAGCTTAGATAATGTCACTTCAGAAAAGAATATAGCCCATATGGTTTCACTGCCCTATGCATAGCCAAGAAAACAGTCCTCATGAACTGGAAAAATAAAAATAATCTTAATTCTAACCAATATAGAAATTATCTATTAGATTACATTAGTCTTGATACAGCCTCTGCCACCACATCAGATCAATTGCTCTGGGCTCCTTTGATTACCTCCATCACCTAGTGGGGGTGGGTGGTCATAGTTTTGTCCCGCCTTCACTGTTGTGATTAGTGTGGGGGTAGGGACAGGCTTAGGGCGTCAGGGGGTTCCCCAGGAGCATCTTCCTTGGGGGGCTCAACCCGGGGTAGCGGTCATGGCCTATTAAGGGCTCTGTTGGCTCTTAGGTGACGGTTTCCTCGTGGCTGCGTGCAGTGGGGCTAGGGGAGGGTCTGTACTGATGGACGTGGGTTACTGACCTGGTAGCCTGGCTGCCCCTGGGTGGGTCCGGGACGGGCGTGAGGTTCTGGGGGTGCTCCGTCTCTGGGCTGGGCCCTGGCCGGGCCTCGGGGCTTGGGTCCTGGTTGGTATGTTGCTGGGTTGTGGGCGGGTGGGTGTATGGGGGCCCAGCCCTGGCGCAGGGTGCCGCCAGTGCATCGAGCCACCTGGGGGCTCTTCGACTGGTGGGGGAGGTTGTTACACCTTGCAGGAGCTTTCCTCTCTTCAAGAACTCACTCTGCAGGAGGGAGAGATACAGGAGAGGTGGAGGAAGATCTCAGCCTGAGCGTCTATTGTCTTGTGTAGTCTGCAAGATAAGTGGATGACGGGGTGGGTGCAGTTTTCTCTGTGGTGGGGTCAAGTGGGCTGTCCTGGGCTCTGCGGGGCTGGGCGGCGCTGCTGTTCTGAGCCCTGGTCCGGATGGGCCTGGGCCCCCTTGCCCTGGCGGGTTGCGGAGTATGGGGGTGCCTACTGGGGTCAGCGGGGGAGCTGGCTAGGGCGATCGTGGCTCAAGAGTTGGGAGTTTGCCTTGTAATCGGAAGGTTGCCGGTTCGAGCTCCGGCTTGAACAGTCTCAGTCGTTGTGTCCTTGGGCAAGACACTTCACCCGTTGCCTACTTGTGGTGGTCAGCGGGCCCGGTGGCGCCAGTGTCCGGCAGCCTCGCCTCTGTCAGTGCGCCCCAGGCAGCTGTGGCTACAATGTAGCTTGCCATCGCCAGTGTGTGAATGTGTGTGTGAATGGGTGGATGACTGAATGTAGTGTGAAGCGCTTTGGGACTAGAAAAGCGCTATACAAATGCAGGCCATTTACAGGTACTGTGTTGCAGTGGATTGCATCATATCTATCTAATAGACTCCAGTTTGTGCATGTAAATGGAGAGTCCTCTTCACACACTGAGGTTAATTATGGAGTTCCACAGGGTTCAGTGCTAGGACCAATTCTGTTTACATTATACATGCTTCCCTTAGGCAGCATCATTAGAAGACATAGCATACATTTACACTGCTATGCAGATGACACCCAGCTCTATCTGTCCATGAAGCCAGATAATACACACCAATTAGTTAAACTGGCCAAGGTTTCTTTCTGTTTAAAACCGTGTAAGAGGCTGTCAGCAAGACAGTCTCCTGATGAGAATTGTATTAGTGTAACACGAAAATCAAGAGAAAGTCTGGGACCTCATGAACGATGTTGAAATGGCTTTAAGCTATGAAAACTCATCTATCAGCATAAAAACATTTTTATTTAGAATACAGCAGGAAAATATCACCTGAATATAGTGAGCACACAGCTTTCTAAACTGCTGTCCAAGACTCACACAACTCTTTTCTAAACCAGAATGAAGTCGGAGAGAACAATCAGTGTCTAAACTGTCCTCATACATGTCCTGCATGTCCAGCACAGTCCCTCGGTCAGCAGCCAATCATCTGCTTCCCCTGATCCACAGAGACAGAGTGAAGACCCTTCTGACCTCCTCTAAACGTCTCCATCAGCACTCTCAAATCAAACCTCACATCTGAGGAGCTCTTTCTCAGCATGAAGCCCCCTGCTGCTCACTCATCGTCACCTCTCATCTTAATCTAGCTCCAACAGCTCTTTCTCACAGTTTCATGTAGTGGCTCATCAGCTGTATCCTCGTGTTGTTACCACAGTTGTTCATATGTTTTTGAACATTGCAGTGAATCTGACTGGAAGGACTGGAGTGTCAGGTGAACAATCAGAATATAAGTCTCTCCTCCGTCCGTTCAAAATCACATTTCTTTGATGAAGATGGTAATGTGATGAGAGGAAGGAGAGCTGATGAGGTCTGATGAAACAGCTCTTGTAGAAGTGAACTTGGGTCAAAGTAAAATGGTGAACATGAGTGATGCTGATGTTACAGACAGATGATATTATTGATGACATTTAGCTTACAGTGTGTGCGCAGCGTGAGAAAGATCTGCTCTTACATGTGTTTCTGCGCTCAGTGGAACATCTGTGGGAAGGATGTGGTTACTCTCTCTCTGATACCTGCAGCACTTGCAGATATTTTACAGGGATTGTTTCAGGTTTTGCATAATGATCACTGTAAATGTGAAAGTTCTAAAGAGATGCTCAGAAAAATAGAGGGTATACAGTAAATCCTACTAAATGTTTTGTGGTGTCATTTATATTTACAGGGAAGCAAATCAAGCTCAGCAGTGTCTCTGTTTCTGTTTATTTTAATAAAACCTCATAAGGGGTTTTAACCCTTACCCATAAAGTGAGCCATGAAAAGATCAGATCTGGGTAAAAAACAGTTAAACCTAAAATTCCCCGCAAAGCTTTGATGACTTCCAGCCTTCACAGAGTTCATCCTTTTTGTGTCTTGTGTATAGATTGTGTAGTTTATGTTGTGTGTGTAGTGAAGCACAGCCTAGTTCTTGATATGGTACGGCGCCTCAGTCGTGACCGCAACTTTCACACTTTCAATAAACAACGATGAATAAATAAATACGAAAAAAACTGAACTGGTTTCTCTGGTAACGGTGAGCTCCACCAGTAAGAGACAATGTTGTTGGGGACCATGAGGAGACTCTTTTCCACAGTGTCATGTCATAAAATGTTTTTTCTGTTAAAATCAGACGGATCTTACAGACGTGTGGTTTCTTCAAGCGCACATGCCACCGTGTGGCAGTCAGTGTGCTGTGGAAGGTTACAACGTCATGGCTCACAATCTAGATCTGTGTGGAGTCTTACTGTTGAGCTCCATAGAGTCTAATTATGTACTGAAACAGTCAAAATGTCAGAGTCCATAAAACGAGTGAAGGAGGTGGGCGTCTTATTTATGTCAAACTCGCGTCTGCATTTCGCTTCCGTGTAAACAAGGAAGTGGTGAAGCTGAACGCGTCTCACTGCTCCGACTGACATTCAGTCGGCATCCGGACGACATGAAGACTCCAGCTGTCTCTCTGCTCCTCGGTGAGTCAAACACAGCTCCTCCATCCATCCATGCATCCATCCATCCATGCATCCATCCATGCATCCATCCATCCATCCATCCATCCATGCATGCATCATCCATCCATCCATCCATCCATCCATCCATCCACCCATCCATCATCCATCCATCCATCCATGCATCATCCATCCATCCACCCTCCATCCATCATCCATCCATCCATCCATCCACCCATCCATCTATCCTCTATCCATCCATGCATGCACCCATCCATCCATCCATCCATCCACCCTCCATCCACCCTCTATCCATCATCCACCCATCCACCATCCATCCATCCATCCATCCATCCATCCATCCACCCATCCATCTATCCTCCATCCATCCATGCATGCACCCATTCATCCATCCACCCATCCATCCATCCATCCATCCATCCATGCATGCACCCATCCATCCATCCATCCATGCATCCACCCATCCATCCATCCATCCATCCATCCATCATCCATCCATCCATGCATCCACCCATCCATCCATCCATCCATCCATCATCCATCCATCCATGCATCCACCCATCCATCCATCCATCCATCCATCATCCATCCATCCATGCATGCACCCATCCATCCATCCATCCATCCATCCATCCACCCTCCATCCATCCATCCACCCTCCATCCATCCATCTATCCACCCATCCACCATCCATCCATCCATGCATGCACCCATCCATCTATCCTCTATCCATCCATGCATGCACCCATCCATCCATCCATCCACCCTCCATCCATCCATCCACCCATCCATCCACCCTCCATCCATCAATCCATCCATCCTTCCATCCACCCATCCATCTATCCTCCATCCATCCATGCATGCACCCATCCATCCATCCATCCATCCATCCATCCACCCATCCATCCATCCATCCATCACCCATCCATCCATCCATCCATCCATGCATCCACCCATCCATCCATCCATCATCCATCCATCCATGCATCCACCCATCCATCCATCCATCATCCGTCCATCCATGCATGCACCATCCATCCATCCATCCATCCATCCATCCATCCATCCACCCTCCATCCATCATCCATCCATCCATCCATCCATCCATTCTTCCACCCATCCACCCATCCATCCACCCTCCATCCATCCATCCATCCATCCATCCATCCATCCATACATCCATCCATCCATCCACTGACTGAGGAACCAGAGTGAGTCCAGGTCCAGTTGAAGGACAGTTGATGAATGAATGCTGGGATTTTGGTTTCTTTAAATGACGTGAAGCAGAAGCAGCTGATCCACCTGACCTTCAGTGACCTCTGACCTTTACTGACCTGTGTCCTGTTGCAGGTGTGTGTGTGCTGCTGCTGTCTGCACTGGCTGTTTCTGCAGGTGAGTTGATGAAGTGAAAACAATCAGAGACTCCTAAAGATCACAAATACATTTACTGTGTGTCTGTGCTCAGTCTCTCTGCAGGTCAGTCCAAACCTCCAGCAGATCTTCAAAATTACGCTTCTTCTGTGTCTCTGAGTTGTGTTGATGATGAAGGAGAGACAGCTGATGGGTGGAAGGTGATGATAACAACAGATGACTACAGTTATGACTGTGCTGACAGTCTAAGCTTGCATGGATATGGTGTGGGATATTACTCTTTCTGTATTCTGGATTCATTCTTCTCCTCTGATCCTCTTTACTTCTGTGAAAACTCGTCTGGACAGCAGAGCGATGAAGTCTCCATCAGCATTTCAGGTACAGGAAGTGAGCTGTCTTTGTGCGACTCTGCTCTGCTGGTGGATCTTTGTCTCTGTATCACCCTTTTGTGTCTCTGTTGGTCAGATAGAAGTGTGATCCTGGAGATCCCTGCACTTCCTGTGAGGGCAGGAAGTAATGTCACGCTGCGCTGCAGAAACCACAGGGGTTCAAAGGTTGAAGCTTATTTCTTCATTAATGGGAGTCATGTTGGAGCTGAACACAAGTCAGAGCTCATCATCACTAATGTGCAGAAGTCTGATGAAGGCGTCTACTCGTGTTCTGTCGGCGTAGATGAAGAATCTCTTAAGAGCTTTCTGAGGGTCAGAGGTGAGGACACTGACATCACTTCCTGTTTAAAGACGTGACCTAACTAAACTGATCGCTGACAGACCCACCTTCATCATCTCTCCTGCAGAGCCTGCTGTCACCCCTTCTTCCTCCCTCGTCCCCTTTTCTTCCTCCCTTCCTCCTCCTCCTCACTTTTGTCTGTACTGAGACTATCCTGCCATCTAGTGGTCTTTTGTCCATATTGCATCTCTGCTGTGTGCTGCTGTCCATCTGATGCAGAAGGAAGACGGCAAAGAAATCAGCCATCTCCATGGAGATGACCCGGCACGATGGAGGATGTCAGGGTTTGGATGGAGACTATGAATGCATGTTTGCTGATATGCTTTATACAAGCCCAAGATGTCTTCATGATGTGTTTATTATCTGCTCCTGTACTGATGATGTTCAGCCTCCTCTGAGTATAAACAGTTTTTGGGGGTTTTTTTTGGAAATCAATCCTGTTTCTCCCTCCAAGTGAGAAAACACTTATGTTTTATTACTGGCTATGGAAATCGTGTACATCATTGTCCTTTGTATGCTTCTGCTAAATGTCTTTCTTTTTTTCATATTCACAGACTTTCCCATCGGTTGATCTTTATCTATAATCTCTGCTTGGGCTGGTTCCCTCTTATTTATGTGTTTATATGTGTAAAAACGCAACCAATACAGCCTTCGTTCTCACAATATCATACAATTGATTGTCCCAAAAATTAGGACAGAACTGAGGAAAAGCTTTTCAATACGCTGCCCCTGCTTCCTGGAATAATCTGCAGAAGGAACTGAAATGATCAGAATTTGTTACCTCGGGGAGTTTAAGTTCAATTCAATTTATTTATACAGCACCAAATCACAACAACAGTCACCTCAAGGTGCTTTATATTGTACAGTAGATCGTACATTAATAGATACAGAGAAAAACCCAACAATCATATGACCTTCCCACTGTCGCACTTTGGCAACAGTGGGAAGGAAAAACTCCCTTTTAACAGGAAGAAACCTCTGACAGAACCAGGCTCAGGGAGGGCGGGGCCATCTGCTGTGATTGGTTGGGGTGAGAGAAGGAAGACAGGATAAAGACATGCTGTGGAAGAGAGACAGAGGTTAATAACAGATATGATTCAGTGCAGAGAGGTCTGTTAACACATAGTGAGTGAAGAAGGCGACTGGAAAGGAAGTCTGTCTTAAAGCAACGAGAGAATAACTCAGTGTGATTGTTTTTAGTGTTGCTCTTAATTTGAATACACTCACATGTGGTAAGTGTATTTGACTTTTGTTGCCATGAACCAGGTCTCTCTTTGGAAATGAGATTTTTTACCTGGATAAATAAAGGATTAATAATTGTCCTGTCATCAGATCATCATAGTTTCTGTGTTTGTTCCTCAGTGTGTTTCATGTTTCTCCTGATTTATTTGCAAGCTTTGGGAGTTGTGCTCATTCCTCATGGTGACTGAAAGAAATCTCCGTCCCGGGTTCATCCGTGGATCGGGTTTCCTCCGAGGCGTGATCACCGATAAGCAGAGTTTTGTCCTTTCCTTATAAGATTCCTAATTATTCAAAGTAACACTCAAGTATGCCGTTCAGCAGGTTAGTTACAGCGCCGGGAGTAGCTTGGGAGAACAAAATGACACAGAAACTGCTTCAGGTTGCTCTTCCAAAATCAACTCTAAGGTTTATTAAGTATACAACAGCTTATATAGAGGAAAAAGGTTCGTGTGTCAGCAGGTTCTCAGTTCAAACCGGTACAGACCAAATAAGGAAACGTCTTCCTGCCTCCTGAGCAAAGAAGTATCCTTTGTGTAGTTTATCTCTTCAGTTACAATTTATGATCATCCCAGCAAAATACACTCCTAGACATAGAATACAGAGTTCTTTCATTAGTGAATTCTGAAACAAACCACCTGGCCTTTAACAAGCTCTTTTCTAGGAGATAAAGAAGGGAGGATGGGAGTAAGGAAGTGATCTCTGTGGTGTTTTCAACCTTGAGGTACCATCCTGTGATTCTTACACATTAATTCTTGGTCACAGAGAAAGAGAAAAACAACTAGTAAATGGGCCTTATTGAGTAACAGTTTTCCTGTATAATATCACTATAAAACAATATCCTGTAAATGCTACCATGGTATCAAAATATCACAACAGTGACCTTCTTATTTCATCCAATGAAACAGTGACTTTCTGTTGTTCCTCCTCCCTGCACCGTGTACAGTACGTCGGGATCTGTCTGATTCAGCCTGACATCATCAGTCTGTGTAAGCAGTCGCCATCAGATGGTTATCAACTCACTCAGGTAATCCGGGGTTTTCACTGCACGTTCACGTGACAGAGCTGGTGCTGGGAGCATCTGACCAATCACAAACATGGATAAGACTCCACCAACACCAGAGCGGAGGATGAAACTATCATAGTATAAAAATATGAAGCGATTAAACACAAAATACAAACTAAAAAGAAGACAGCTGCTGTTTGGATGTGTGTGTGCTTTAAGCAGCTGCACTGGAAACACCTTCTATATTTATACAGTTCAGCTGTTTGAAGCAGAATTGAGGAGACTTCTCAATATCTCAGCTGCATAATTCAGACACTGGAGAATCTGTTGGCTCATAACACAGAAGATCATTAAATTTATGTTTAAATGACAGTTATCCTGGCACAGCTCAAGGCTGTTGTGTAGAAGTAATACGTCTTAACTACAAGTAAACAGAGTATTGAACAAACAGCGCCACTGAGTCAATGCCAAGTCAGACTCATCTTCTGAACTGAGGAGTCAGAAACATGTCCTAGTTTACTGCCGTGTTTTATTTCCATACCTCAGTCTCAGTTCTTGTTTCCCGCTGATGTACACATACAGAATGTAAGCTGTGCAGCATCATAGATGCTTTATAGCAGCGGCCCTCAAACTGGGGTCCCCAGACCCCGCGGGTCCACGAGCCATTGACTGGTTGTCTATGAAAACACGTCATGGCAGTAAACACATGTGCATCATCTGGGGTTGAGCTAATTAGCACAGAGGACAAACATTTATTCATCGAGTTATGCAAAAGCAAACCAGCTAAAATGAGAACGCATGACAACAGTTGCATCGAATCAGCTTCATCGAGGATGATGATGGAAGACCAAAATTTGTTGTGTCTTTGTGCGACTCCTTTCTTTCCTCTGTGTTATTTCTCATTATTACACATAACTACTTTTATGGACGTCTGTGCTTTGATTTCTTTGAATGTGGACTGGATGAGCTGTTACCAACATCTGGTGAGAATTTGATGTCAGTAGCAACTTTAGAAATATATTGGTGTTCAGTACTTGTTTTACCCCCTGTGTAACTTTAGTTCTTGGTCTCTAATTTCTTCTGATTTCCTTTTATGAACACTGAATCAGGAAAGCTGCATCCTCCTGCTCTGCTTCTCACAGAGAGCAGTATAATAGTAGCATAGCTCAGCTCAGAGCCCACTTTAATGCCTCACAGAGTTCAAGTAGCAGCAGCAGGTGAGTGAACTGAATTCTGCAGAGAGCGTCTTTGTCCAGCAGAGGGCCCCGGTGAGTTTGACATGACTAAGGAGCAGCTTCAGAGTGGATTTCAGGTGAAGCTCCATCAGCAGTGTTAGGCTGGTGTGCAGTTTGTTTCTCTGTGTCTCGCAGCCAGTTTGAGGCTCTGTGACTTTTAATAAATGTCCAACGTTAACATGAAGCTTTCAGGGACACACATGCGAGGACCAGAGCGGAGCACAGTTTCCTACAATCACTGCGTTTGTGTTTCTGTGGAAGCTCTGCCAACAAAGTGCTCCAGAACAACTCAATCTAATGTCAGCTGGTTATAAAAACTGATGCAGGCTGACGAAGCACAGTGTGACAGAGCAGCGCCTGTTTTACAGTCACATGAAGAAAATCCAAACTCTCATTCTAATGTGTATTCAAATCGTGGCCTGTGGTCGGCCACACAGTCACACCGTGAAGATAAAGAAGTGTGGCTGTTAGACGTGCTGCAGGAGAACGCCTCTTCTCTCTAAAAGAACATGTTAGCATAGCTTAGGTTTGCAAAGACTTCAGGAACAAACGAGACCAAAGTGGAAATTGTCGTGGAATTTTGTAAATAAAGTCTGTGGTCATGCTATTTATTACTGTGCGCAGGAGAACACACATACACATCAAAACATAGCAGGTTCATAGTAACGAACGTCTAACCTCGGGCATCGCAGCGCCCTTTCATACCATCGCACAAACTCTGTGTATCTTTTCAGTTACAACAGTCTTTTGTCCAACCCGGGCTGTTGCTGTACACAGAAGACTCCCACCATCCTTTCCCAGGCCAGCACCTGCCGCTGACCCTGAGCTTCATCCCTCTGAGCAAAACAGTTTGCAGATAACATAGTGAAACATCGTTAGGCCTAGCTAAGCAGTTTTCACAAGGTCATGCTGACACATACTTGCTTCATCTTAAGCAGGCAAAGGTTATACAAGATTCTAAACACATAAATCTAATGTGAGGATAAACTAGAATTTTCCATAACAAGATGTTTGTCTAAACGCACAGCAGCACATTTGGAGGAAACAGCTGTCAGCAGCTGTCAGCACAGCAGTGGAAGGACGATGATCTCTGTGGAACATGAACTGTATACCAAAGGAGTCAGTGTGAGGCTGTCTGTCCCACGGCTAAACTGGGTCATCAACAGGACAATGATCCAAGCACAGCAGCAGATCTCCAACGGAACGGCTGAAAAAGGAAAGAATGGAGCTGCTGCAGTGGTCCAGAGTCCAGACCGCAGCCTGACCGATGCTGGGGTCGGACTTCCAGACAGCTCTGCATATCTCAGCTAAGGCTGGTGACAGAGCTGTCGAGTTCATATTAGTCACGTGTCATACGAATGTGTCGACATTTTGTAAAGGTTAAATCAACAGCATACAACATTTTTGTGAATGTTTTATGTTGTCATATAATACACTTTATTGTTTATTCTCGATTAGAACACCTTACTGTGAAAAATGATTATTTTATGTTGCTTTGTGCAGATCTCACGGCGTCGTTGGTGCACCTGTGTCAAACAAATGCCCGTAAGACTCAAGAGCACCTTGTGTCAGTTATTGAACTTGGAGGGAGTTACAGGTTTCTAGGCCTTACGCACACGATTTCTCTTTTTGTGGTGGTGTATACGTGCTGATAATAAAGAACAAGG